CTTTCGAAAAAACATGTCGAAGCTTCGGGGTTCACATGGTTACAATCACAACCAGGTGTGGTAATTAAGATAAGGGTAAATGTGAGGCTATCCTGTGACTATCACCACACCACAGATATGCATATTTGATACAGAGGAAGAGCTACATTCTTAACATTAGCAGTAGAATCGAGTATTCAGCTTCATACTGTGACTGCCTTGCACTCGGATAAATAGACATATTCATTGGCGATGCTGTGTTCGGCCCGGAAGAGTTTTGGAGATGCTGGTATAAAAAACGCCTCTGCAAAGTATCTAAACTCTTCCGTTCAGTCAGCAGACCATTTTACAAAGCTGAATCATGATGGCTCTCCTGAAAAATGTTAATTCGATTAAATTCACTTCATGCATTTAAGTGCTTGTCAATAACAGTGACTGTGGCGTGCAAACACTAAAGTAAAGTAAAGTTTGTCCCACTATGCGCCATGTAGACGCTTGGGGTGAGAGGAGGTATAGCTCCTCTCTTCCTTGACCTCGGCACTAGATGGGGTGAGTGGTCAGCATCACGCCCCGGCCGGCTTTACCCCCGGGCGCAGAGGCTAGAGGAAATATCCTCTGCCCCCGTCGGGGATCGAACCCCAGCCGTCCAGCCCGTAGCTAGTCACTATACTGTCTGAGCTATCCCGGCTCACGTGCAAACACTAATAAATATAAACGAGACGCATAAAACAGTAACAAATCAAGACAAAAATAAACAAACTAATAGTAAATGGAAATACGTTCCGGTATTGAGAAAATATCCTCCAACAAGACACAGACTTTTCTAAATATGTCAAAAAAATCTACATTTGTCATTTGCGGCAATGGCGTACTAGTTGAAGGACTGTCTTAAACGCACTGCTCACTCTACAGGTAGATTATCTTATTTGTTTTGCTTGTAGGAACACAAATACTAAATTTGTCCATAATGAAATATGTCTTGTCCTTAAAACATCAACAGGAATACACCATATAGTTGTCTGGAATAGAGTTCCAAAATTTAAACAATCCAAAATGAAATCACAATTGTGTAATCTAATTAAAAAATGCATGATGACACAGATTAGCAATTTTTCTTTAAGGCTTACACATTTCCTGTTCTTTTAGAGAGAGTAAATGTGAGGTTATTCCACACAAAAGAAGCATTCTCGAACTTCGATCTAACTAATGTACTGTTACAAAGCAATTGAGGTATCTACAGAAAATAAATTATATGTAATATAGCAATAAGTCCTATCATCCTTAATACCTGAAGATGACAATTACGTTAACAATAACAACAACACAACATTCACCGGAACACAAGCTGAAAGTTCCAACTTCCTCACAACTGTTGTGTTCACAGACAATGACGGAGACAAAGAGTAACAGAAACTGAAACACGCCCTTGTCAACAAAATTACGTAGTTTTTCATGATGTTAAGCTAATCTAATATTTATGCACGTGTCGGATTTTCTGCCATTAGTAATACCAAGCTGGCGGTTGTGTGCGCTTCTGAGGTGGGAGAGATTCAATTTTTTGTCTGTAGATTTCCTGCTATTTTATATATATCATGAACCACTAGAGCTAGACATGCAAAATATTGTAGACAGACCATGAACAGGCCTACAGTACGAAATATAAATTAAACACTTTTATTAGAAGGTGCAAACATGGCGACGGTGCGAAACGTTGAAGTATGATCTGACAAGTGATAAGCTGAACTAGTTGAGAATATACACAGAATGGGACACTAAATTATTTTACAACTGCTCATAATCTGTAGTTTCTAACGGCGTGTCCATGCAGAATTGAGCGCATGAGTCACACGTGCTTCCTACAATCTCTTGTTAAATTAACTTTACTTCCAACATCGATCACATTTGTTTTATAGAACGTTAAGAAATCTGTAAACTATATATCATCAATTTTATATTCCGAATTTAATTTTATGATGCGACGAGAATCTTACATTTCTGAGATCTGTGCCAAAGTCAAGTCTTCCTTAATAAACGTTAAAACAGAACGATGGCAGAAGGCATGAACTCTATTTAAACAGGCAGAAGAGAAGATTCATTCGGCGCGGCCTCATTTTCCTCTACCAGCGTTCTAGTACAAAATCCCTTCTAACCAATATTACGGCTCACAAAAGAAGCTCCACAACAGACTCTTTTGTGTTGACATGAAATTAAAAACGCCTATAGTCGACATCAGAGAGCCTTCTGCTTTGCTAGACCAATGTTAGGGCCTGAAGTAAGATCAGGAACCTCGGACCATTAGCTAATAGTTCTGACTCTGATCTCCATCTCCGTGTGGCTAACAATTTGTGAACTCGTCAATGTTATGTTCATCAGACGGTAGTTATGACATAGCTTTATCACAAAACGATATGAATGACGACATTACTGGCCTTGTGTTTAATCCCTCTGGTGGTAATAGGATTATGGTCAAACGCTTTCATGGCCGCACTGCTTTTCAGCCCGTGTCTGAATAACCTTGATGCGAGTCATAAGCTTCTTTGCACATGGCTTTTTCGCTGCCACGTTCGACTATGGTCGAAAATGTGATCCTGTTTGTGTGCGTGTACGAGTTATAGTGGAATACAACGTTAAAATCCGAACCCCCTGAATTACGCTATATTATTTTTACGTCTACTAACAAGTTCGACTTCAAAGTTAATTCTAAGGCGTTCCATATTTCAACATTTCAACACCAGGCGATGAATACAGCTAATATTTCTGGAAAAGGACATTCACGCGAATGAGACCGGTACAGGTGTGAAGCCAGATCTTTGATGCAGACGGAAGCGTTAATTTAGGCTGGAGAAAATTACATAATGAGGAGCTTCATAATCTGTACTCTTCACGAAATATTATTAAGACGATCGATTCGTGGGTTACATAAAAACCATAGGCCCACAGTAACCCAGACGTTACACAGTGTGGACGGAGACGTGCTGATTACACGCACTACACTAGATAGGAAGAGGGCAGAACACCCGCTGTTTCAAGGTGTTAACCACGGATTAACACATGCAAGGACGAAAATAATAACAGCTATAGACCAAGCGAGTTAGCGGCATGGTCGAGCCCATAACTGTATACGAATCAGACTAATCCCTTCTAGCCCATCTATAGCAACTTTGTCAATCGGAAATTCTGTCAGACGACTTCTGTTTCATGTCACGTCTCTTCGCCATGATTCCTTTGACGAAAGCTTTTGACATGCATAAAAACTTTTTCAATAAAACTGAGTGATTTTATATATATATATATATATATATATACACACACACACACACACACACACACACACACACACATTTTCGCTCATTTTAGACATCACTGTTGCCCTTTAAAATTTTCTTCGTGAAAAATTTGGTGTAAAGTATTGCGATAATTTCTGGCAAAGCCGAGTGGCCGTAATGCTCATTGTAATGTCTGAGCAGTACAGAAGACTGTATTAATAAAACAGCTATTAAGCTTGTACCCTCATAATTATATGCAGCTACGAAGGTACATTAACAACAAAAAGTTCTAATTTTCTTTAGAAATTGTTGCAAATTTCAAGCGAAAAGTGTAAATATACTAATCTCTTCCACATTTGCTAAGTCAGTACTAGGAGATTTACACATTCTTCTAGTTTAACTTCATAAATTATATGATGTTTTTCCTAGTCACAATGATAATTCTATCACTCCATAACTCCTTCTCTATCAGCCACAGTAAGGTGATATAGTGATGTAGGGGTAACACACTAAAGTTGTATTGGGAATGTACCGGGTTCGAATCTCGGCCGTTATCCTGCTAGCCTTTCTGGGGTTTTAGGAGGTTTCTCCAAGTGACTACCTTTACATGTGTCACAATCTTCCCTTCACAATTCATCATCATCTTTCCGTCTCATTTGACTAAAGAATAGTGACATTTCGATTCTGAACTGTATCAGAAGAACAAAATATGAGAACCGTCAACTACATTACTCTTCGCTGAATTTGAAGCGTCCTCGCTTTTCACCAGAACTTTTCACAGCAGCAATCAGCACAAAGAGTTACATACGCGATCTGAAGCATAATTAGGCCTCGACTGAAGGCAGGTGTGAATACGCGTTCGCAACGACCTATCGATTTTAATAGAAGAAAATCGAGTACAAAAAATACAAAACGCAACTGAAGTACGATGCAATCACTTACAAACTGTGGATGGGAACGGGTCAAATATATTACGAAATATAACAAATGAATAAAATTCGATGGTTCAATAGTTTTTACAGATAAAAACACACATATGTAAAATATGTATAAAAGTTTAAGTATTCCCTAACAAAGTGAATAACACTTGTAGGTAAAATGAAACAGACGAGCTTACACAAAAATCTGACGTGATTTTAATTAAATGCGCATGTAACATCTGCAGCTGTTAATATCACTGGAATTCAGACAACTTCCTAACCTATTTAATTAAACTCAAATATTGTATGACTTTTTATTTATTTATTTTTCTTTCCTTTTTCTTTCTCAGCTATGATAAAAATCTGTAATAGGAACGCCACGTGACTCAAGCGGAAGTATATAAAATTGTTAAAAATTGTTTACATGTTTCAAAAAGTAACATTAAATAACACACGAATTACCATGATTCGTCCAAAGAGTAAATGTTAAATAAGATAACAGAAAATTTTCCCTAAATTTCAGGAGGACACGAGTCCATTAACAGACTATGAAACAGTTCAAAATAGTCGTAAATCATTTTAGAAACGTTCTTAATATTTATATTCACTACGTAAGATAATTTTGCTTTTTCGAATCATATGGTTGGTTTGAATTTTTGCACGGAACCCTCTGAAATATAAGATCTAAATTTGAGCTGAAGGTAAATGAGTATTAAGAATATCACAAGCATTTGAATTAGAAAATATAAGCAAGATCTCAGTGTTTTTGTTATTGTTTTAAAGCGGTATTCACTGTTCCTGTTCGTAAAGAAATTAGCACTGTGGGTATACTTACCTTGCAATATGTTTATTTTTGAAAGTCATGGAGTACCACGCGACGATGCAGGAAGTAAATAGTCAGTCCATCAGTTCACCAAATAAACTCTTCACATAGTAATTAAAATTAATGTCAACTACCAAGTCTTAGAATACATAAATACAGTTTCAAAAACAAACAACAATAATCACAAGTTACATTACCACAACACTGAAACAGAACTGTTTTTCGTTAAGCACCGAGTGTTGTCATGCTTTTAGGTATTACAGCCTGTTGCACGGAATGTGTTCGCGTTTCAACTGTCTCCTATCGCTTGCTGTTACTCGCTTCAACTGACTTTGCGCGTGCGAGATGGTTCAGGGTTTGTAGGTTCGTGGGGTGCGGGCGTTCACTGATGACGACGGTAACATCAATGAAACAGTCTGTCTTTGTCGGCCTGTTGCTCTGCCTAGACCTTCGCTGGTTGGTTCGTTGGGGCCCTGCCAGTCGTCTGATCCAGCTAGCATGCAACCACAGTCGATAAAGAGTTCCGGTGTCCACGACTAGCTTTCTAAAATCGCTGATATGCGAATGTCGGCTGAAACAGTACTGTAGAGAATCACTTGGGTCTGTCTAGATTCCCACTTATTGAACTTATGGTTTTCTGCCAAGAATTGGCGCCGACTACGTGGGTGCCCTTGGGTTCAATCACACTCTGGACGGTTTCAGGGGGTTCTGAACAGCTCCTGAACTTTCCTTTCCTTCAGTTCAATTTCTAAACATTTCCTCATAATTATTTCTAATCGATGTACCTCGGTACACATTTGAGCCTAAAAAAATGTATTGAATGTTTATGGAAAAGCTTATCGCCTTCGCATGTTTGCTTAGTGTAGCCAGCTGAGTTGGAAACGGTCAGCTTTGTTTTGACTAAGGAAATTCTTGGAATTCAAAAGCGAGTGAACACACTGTAGTTCCGTTTCTTGTGTTTTTTATGGTAACTTTGTCTTCGTCTGCGTTTCGGATCATTTCAGATTGGCAGCAAGTCCGATAGCAAATGGTCCTTATTGATCTTCCCACATTTGTAATTAGCTCTCGAATTATGTCACACACGTACAATCTTGTTGTAAATCAAGAGGCCTGCTGATTTAGCCATGGCCTACATTACTGAAGACCACTCCAGTTTAATCCTTCGAGATTAAGCCACATCGTTTATTCACAGCATATGGCATCAGGGCGGCCGGTGGTGGTTTCCGGTATAGGTTTGCCCCCAATAGATAACACCAGCTCATTTCCTCTCGCTAGGTGGCTGCCTGTGACAGCAACTACATAGGTTCAGGAAACAGGTGACAGAAATTCGTTTATCGCGCGTGTTACTTTATGAAAGCTTTGTGTCTGCATGTGACAGAGTTTCTGGGACGCTGTTCTGGGCAACCTGTTGGAAAGTTTCATTCGCCTTAACTAAGTCTTAAGCGGCCTTTGTTTTCGACATTGAGATTCGGAAACCTCTGTTATCTTCCTTTTTAATACGAGGGACTGGAACCAGGAGCAGAAATATCGTTCCTTGTCGATGGAAGTGATTGTTTATTCGAGACATTCGCCATTTTCCTCCTTATCAGGAAGCCGGTCCATTCATACACGACACAAGAACTAGCCGTATTGTACCTGCAAGAGAGACAATAACATCGATTGATATAAATAGTGGAACATAAGTTTTAACACTTTCACTCAATCTCTGGCTAAGTAAATTCAGATTTACAGTCGATGTTAAGACAGTCAGAGATGATGAGCACAAAACGGTGAGTAGAATTCAATATTGTCCTGAAGGTTAAGATCCTGTAATGCATCGAAATCTTAGCACAAATTGCATAAACTAAACTACCTTTACTCCGCGACCAGCCAAGTGCCAGGTCAGAAAAGAAACCTCTAAATTAGAACCGAGAGTATGGCAATGTGATGCTTGGTCAGGACTATCTCACATCTCGTTTGCGGTGATTAACAGGGGAAAACAGAAGAACTAGGAGAGAATTCTGTTCCGGTGTCATCTACTCCATTCACCACGATTCACACTAGAAGTTACCCGGGGTTGAAACCAGGTCTTCGCGGTGTTTAAGTGAACACGCCTAGGGGAGATTGGGCTGAACGTATTGAGAGCAGATGAATTGTGTGTGGCTCGCTGTAGTATTAGCAACGAAACAAAGCTCCTTGTACCACCACGCCAGACTGACGTCACCTATTGATCGAGAAACAACAACAAAGCATCCATTGTGCCAATACACCAGAAACTTCAGTACAGGAGCAAAGCGATTCGTTTGCGAAACAATTCCATGCTTGCCATCCGGCTGTCATTTTATTCGTGTCTAAGTCACTGTGTGTTCAAAATGTTGATAGTTTCTCTAGAAAAAGAAAATGCGCGCAAAACTACGAAAGGAAATATTGCAATTCATTTCATAATTTTAAAAAAACAGTAATGAAACGGATTTCATACTATCCGTGTCCAATGTTCGGTTCTAAATGCGCATGCCCTTCGTAAAATAAGCACAAAGCCCGAAAGTAGTTAAATCAGTGTAACAGGGTCATTTTTCAGAAGCTGAGATCTCTCAACTGGTTTGCCCTTTATAAAGCCCAAAGTACCATCGCCGTATACACTACAGCCAGATAGCGAACCAAATCCTGATCCAGCAAAACCCAGTGCGCGTCATCACAACACATTTCCTTAAGATCTATTCTAATACTATCCTCCCATCTGCGCCTAGATTTCCAAATTAGCCTTTTCCCTTCAAGTTCTCTGACACACATTTTATACGCATTTACACACATCTCTACCATGCGTGCTACATTCCTGTGACAGGTACGATTTACACAACAGCCCCTCGACTTGTGGGTGTGTGCCTCCACGACCTCCTGGTATAAAATTTCCCCAAACCAATGCCATCAGGCTATACACGGAGCTCTTCTGATCACCAGCCGTCGACCTCCGCAATATCATCTCGTCTGCACAGATTTCCAAGCGCCTTGCAGAGACTCAGTAGCCACTCGCCTGACCATCCCAAGGTCTGGAGGCTCTGATTCAACTGCCACACTTTCAGAAGGCGGGGAGGTCTCGTGCTCCGCTGGGTACCTTGCGACGGGCCGGTCCTTCTCGTCTGATCGAGCACTCGGCTGACTCATCCTAGTGGAAAGACGAACGTGCCAGTACTCTGGTGAAGCCTTTCGTGCAGGTGTGGTTTTCCTCCTGCAGCGGCTTGGAAGTCGTCGTCGTCACACGTGTCTAACACGCGTCCACCTGCTGCGTGTTAGCTGGCACCTGTCTGCATCACCTGCCGTGTCCTATAGTTGCGCCACGCGTCATGCCCACGCTATGGAGAAGCCCACAGAAGACGTGGCTTGGAGACGACTGCCACAGCACATCTACTGCTTTGCCTTTTTAAAAGGAAAAGGGCTTGCCGTGTCAAGTGGACGAACGCGGATTTTTATGTTTTAACTTTTTACTTTTCTCTGAGACGACACTTTATTGGCTGTACAGTCCCTTGTACTCGAATTTATGTACATGAACTTTGCCAGACCCTTTTCCAGCCTGGAAAATTAAGTTTTAGCGGGACATCAGTACGTTCTAGGTTCACAACATCGCAACAGCTCTGGCATACCTCTGCACAGCCTTGCGTGTGGTCTTTGTAATATTCTTACCATTATTTTTTTTATTTTTAGTAGGCTGTCGTGATGTGTGCATATTTGCATGCAGGTAAAGCATACCAGTTTTTGTAACATTATCGGATTTGATTTTCCTTGAGTAGTGTAAGTGGGCGAGAATATCCATAGAAGCTGGCGCGCCTCGAAGCCCACAAACAAAATGGGAGATAATTGCACTAATGTGATTTCGATCTTTTATGTGGTTGAGAAATAAAACCTGCCCGAGGATGGTAAATTTGTTCGGGGTATCAAAGGACAGCCGCCCCTGCAATACAAAAGGAAACGTCTGTAGACACAAACGGCACATCGACTGTTATTTCCCACGAAGTACATTTGCAAAACGAAGTTGTTAGAAAGGGTGTGTAAGGATATAGACCTGGTTATTTACATTTAGCAAGACGCTTGTGGCCGTTGTACGTGCAAAGGTACTACCTTAAGCATGTATTTATATAAGATTTCTTTACACAATGTTTTATCCACCTGTTACTTAGATAAAAAAAGTATAATTTAAATTTGTTACAGCTTTCATATATTTTTAGTCTTTTACTGAGATAATAAAGTTATTTCAAATCCTAACAGACTCTTCATAAACTGCGCAAACACATATTTAATTTTTAGTGGAAACTTAAATAACTCTTCGCATATTTAGCTAACAACACATTTAATAAGAAGTAATTTGTTTTGTTGTTGCTAGCACAACTTTAATTTTCTGATAATAATTAATTATACTGACGCACAATAAAACTATAAAATGTTAATAATAAAACCTCAGAAAGAAGTTCGGTGATCCTTCTAGTAACGTAAAAACTTCGTGTATTTTCAAATTGAATTGCTTGTAAAGGGTACATTTTGTTACTAGAGATAAAACAAAATAAAAGGCAATACATGTTATTTTAATTAACTCTCGGCAGTTGTTTTTCTACAGGCATTTGAATTCAAAGCAATTTTCCAACGCAGTTGTCAGGACTCCAGGCGTAGTGGTTTGCCTTGATTGACTAGCAATGCGAGGCCTGCTTTGCGCGCTAACCGCCTTTCAGTATCACTCAACTGACTTAAAACACAACATTTGGAAGAAACTTTATGAAATCAAGAACGTGGTGCTTCATATCATCTACATGTATTACGCATCACCGGCCACTGTAAGGACTCAGGTTATCCAGAATATGTGCAAGCTCAAGGTTCATTGCCGTGTTCACAAAAGTCCGTTACTGGACCTTATTCTGAGCTGCTTAGAGTTCACATCCTCAAATTATCTGCGTATTTTAGCATTGTTTTTCCATTTAAATTTAGGTACCCCAAGTATATTATGTAAGTATACAACAAATCAAACCCTGTTCATAATACTAGGTAAATGGAAACTACATGTTCTCCTTGTGTGAGCCCAGTAATTTTTGTAACTTTCACTTCATGTTTGTAATGATAACGCAAGACTGAAAGCTTAAAAACAGTTTGAAAGTTATAATGATCCAGCTGTTGCAAATACGACACGCAAAGTTGAAAATCTCAGAAATAACAGTAAGACTACGAAATAACGAACCTCCTTTCATGTTCCACAACATTAAACTGTGGGAAGGACTAATGGCGTTACAATTTACCCAGAGAAGCTAGCAGAGATTTTGGAGTAGTTGCCCAATTGTAATTGGTTTAGTGACTCCCTTCTGTGTATTAAAGACGCTGAAGGTTCGCGAAATTTACTCTCTTCTAGTGATTAACATATGAAAAATGTTTCTCATACAGAATTCACGGTGAGGAGTTCTTAGTCTCCGTCGAACCCAGAAGCTTGACGGCCACTCTTTGTCAGCTGTCCGCGAGTACTTGAGCAAAATATTTCGTATCTGGAGGCCGTCTTCTCCATCCGCAACCTGAGGAGGTACTAAACCGTAGGGACAAGAGATTTGCCGTAAGTTTGG